CCCGAGGTGGGGTCTGGAACAGAACCCATGTCCAAGCAGGTGAATCTACTGCACAAAGCATATGAACACTCACACCAGGGAGACACACAGGCCCAAAAGGGGCTCATGGCCATTCAGGTCAGATTTTGCCCCTTAATGAGTACAGGGCAGGGCGGGTTTGCCATCAAATGATTTATTAAAAAACATTGTCAGAGCTTTGGGAGTTTTGAAATTGCTAATAAGGAATTATGGGCCTTCTTTAAGTCCTTATCCAGTTGATTTCACAGAAGACTTTGCTTTCCTCCAATACGCTCTGCACAGTCCTGGCTCTAGCTGGCTGCTGCTCCTGGCCTGCTTCTCTAATGCAAGCCCTAAGGTTTACGATTTCTCTGTGGGATCACTACTGTGTGTCAGTCTCTCTGGCTGCCATAACAAATTACCACAAATCTGTTGGCTTCAAACAACATAAATTTGCGATTTTGGGGTTCTAGAGATCATAAGTCCTAAAATCAAGATATCTACAAGGCTGCTTTCCTTCTGGAGGTTCTAGGGGCAAATCTGTTTTCTTGCCTTTTCCAGCTTCTAGAGGCTGCCTGCATTCCTTGGCTTGTGGCCTCCTTCTTCAAAAACCAGCAGCATAGTATGCGTGAGAGTGTGTGTGTGTGTGTGCGCATATATACACATACATATAAACGTAATATATCTATCTATATATATATATATATAAAACCTTTGCTTCCGTCATCGCATCTCCTTTTCTGACTCTGACCCTCCTGCCTCCTTCATATAAGGATCTCATGATTATGTTGGGCCCACCTGAATAATCCAGGATAATCTCCCCATCCCAAGAACCTTAACTTAATCAATTTACAAAGTCCCTTTTGCCATGTAAAGTGACACAACCACAGTTTCCAGGGACTAGGGTGTGGATGTGTTTGGGGGCCGTTATTGTACCTATCACTCAATTCTGTCCAGCTCCGTGGGGTTGCAGGGGAAGTTAGTGAAAAGAGTGCTTCCTGTTTAGAGGTCGAGGTGAAACGTGTCCCTCTGAGCACAGACATAGGTGCCCTAATAGTCCCTGGCAGCAGCTGCAGCTGCAGCTCCCTATCCCCCCAGCACAGCATTGAGGGTGTCAGGCCTGGGTTGCAGGAGTTACAGTGGTCTGCTGGCGGGTGAGGGGGGACCATGAGTCATATTTCTGGTCTCAAGGGCTCTACCTAGTTCCATCCATAAAATGCTACAAAAATGTGTGGATTGAGACAAAACATAATAGGCATATTCTTTCCAAATTTAAAGTATAGGCTCTTTGTATACTCTGTGCTACATGCCTTGAAACAGATCACATCTATTTTTTTCCTTGGAGATAAGTGAATGACTTAATTCCTTCCCTGTAAAAACATGGCATGTAAAGTATAGATAAAGGTATAGCAGGATGTTGTACTGTGTATTAACACATAGAGTCAAAGCTCAGTGAAGGTATATTTTAGAGTGTCTTGAAGAATGGGTCAAAGATTGATTACCCAAAGACATGGGCATGGATACACAAAGCCCAGGTCATGAAAGGTCTAAGGCTGCTCAGAAAATGGAAATAAGTCCAGTGTGGGTATAACAGGACATTGGGGAGAGGAGAGTGATGACAGATGAAAACAAATGTCCATCAGGGACCAGATTCTCTCTTCCTGAGGCCTTCTTTGGAATAGTTGATAGAATCGTATTTCTACACAGTTGGAAAAAATGCCATTTTTAATATCTCAAACTCTACCCAAACCTAGGGCAATGTCTAAAACACTCAGGTAGAATGTACCTTCCATTTAGGAGGAAGAGGTAGCACCAACAGTTATTGGAGGCTGCGACCGACAAAGCCAGCTCCATTGGCCTCTTTGGATTTGCCACCACTGGACTCGCTTCTTTAAGTTGACTTATGTCTCCCTGGCCTTACTAAAACCATCCTGCCAGAGACTAGTATGTCATTCATTTTGTTCTCAAACGAGATCACAGATGCCACAGAAAATATGTATAGTGGGCCTTGGTGTGCCTGAAACACGCTACATATCTCTGAAGCATCAATTTTACTTGCACAGTCTGAGTGGATAAAAAATATTATGTGAAAAGTTAATAGAAATATCACAAGGAGGAATGGAAAATTTGTTTAATTTTTTTGATAGACTTTATTTTCTAGAGCAGTTTTAGGTTCACAGCAAAATTGAGCAGAGGGTGCAGAGATTTCCCATACTCTCCCTGCCCCCACACATGCATAACCTCGCCATTATCAACAACCTCCCACAGAGGGTACATGTGTCACAACTGATAAATCTCCATTGACACATCATAATCACTCAAAGTCCACAGCTGATATTAGGGTTCACTCCTGATTTTGTACAATCTATGGGTTTGGACAAAGGTATAATGTGTCCATCCACATGTATCCATCATTATAGTATCATACAGAATAGAGTGCTGCCCTAAAAACCCTCTGTGCTCTGCCTATTTATCCCTCCTTTCCCCCTAGCTCCTGGCAGCCACCAATCATTTTATTGTCTCCATGGTTTTGCCTTTTCCAGAATGCCATATAGCTGGAATTATACAGTACGTAGCCTGTTGATATTGGCTTCTTTAACTTGGTAATATGTATTTAAGACCCCTCAGTATCTTTTCTTGGCTTGAGAGTTCATTTCTTTTTAGTGCTGAATAATATGCTGTTGTAATTTGTTTAATATTTGAGACAGAAGAAAGTTCTCCAAAAATGTTTCTTTTGCCTCAGGCTTCTTTAGAGTACACCTCTAGCTGCCCCTTCTCCTCCACCCCCAATATGCTTCATCTCCTCTGACTTCAGGGAGGTTAGTTCCCAGAAAAGTTTAACACACTGTTAGCATGAACTGATTGCCACATTAGAAGTGGAGAGCAGTGTCCTGAAAAGGTGGTTGTCACACCTGTTTTACTAATTCCAGAACCTTTTCTTCAAAACAAAATGTACACGGAGTTCCAAAGTAGAAGACAGGTAAATGTGAACCTGCTCAGCTCAAACCGGATGGGAGGGCGGGGCCCAGAGCCCATCCGCTCAGGAACCACACGCACCCAGGCCTCCCTGGTGGTCACTGAGGCATCCCAAGTGATCCAGAAACACCTACAGCTGCTTGAAAATGTCAGACCTTAAAGAATGGATACTAAGACTGCTAAACTGGGCCAGGAGAATGAGGAAGAGGGACAGGCCTGGGTGTGGTGTGCGCACGAGGAGCCCCAAGGCGGAAGACAGAAAAGGTGCAGGGAAGTCTCAAAGTCAAGCTTTGTCAAACGCACAATTGAGCGTGTGGTCCATCTCTTTAAATTTTAAGATTGAGGAAAGAGGTCTCAGAAAGCAAAAACCTCTTGTAAATGGAGTCGTCACTCTTTTATTTGACTCTCAGCTAAGGAAAACGTTAAATTAGATATGCAATTATTAAATCATAGGGAACTTAGAGTTACAGTCTGACCTCCTCATTCTACAGATGAGGAAAGCAAAACTCAGAGTTAAGACTTCCACCCCACACTGAGCCACAGTGTATCGGGAATACGGGTAAATGTTTTCCACTTACAAAGGTTGTTTCAACCTAGTTAATAAAATTCCCCTAAATATTTTAAATTGCATTTAATTTAGTATAGTCTAGTCTTTTTTTCTTTTCTTTTTTTTTGCTCAGGAAGGTTCACCCTGAGCGAACATCTGTTGCCAATCTTCCTCTATTTTGTATGTGGGTCACCACCACAGCATGGCCACCAACAGACAAGTGGTGTAGGTCTGCGCCCAGGAACCAAACCCAGGCTGCCAAAGCAGAGCACACTGAACTTATCCACTAGGCCACCACACATGGCCCTCTACTCTTTTTTTAAGTATCTCAGTTGTCTAACAATAACAAAAACAAAAGAATCCTAATTACTTCAATAAATCTCACAAATCTAATAAATTAAGCTTATGAATATGGTGACTCTTAAATTCTCTTAAGCATTTAGAAACTAAGTAAAATTGCCTAACCTTTCAACCTAAAATCCTGAGTCTAAATATGAAATTACTCAATAATATATTAACTTCTAATTGTAAGGCTCATCTGTTGTATATTCCAATATGCCAAAGTTTCTTCTACATAATAAGTACTTAGTAAATATGCCAAGATTATTCTTAAACTTAAAAATAGTAATGTTATAGTTTGATTTACTTTATTACATTTCCATAATAAATTTAATTTCAAGATTTTAAGAGACTGAAACAAAGTCATCTACTAAGGGAATCATCCCAGCGTCCCAAGCCAGTCGGCGTTACTCCTCCAAGCACATTGGGGTCACCTCCTCAGCTGGCAAACGTTGCTCTTCACCCAGAGATTTGGGGCAGGACGTGACACCTGAAGCTGTAAACATGCAGGGAGATTTTTGTGTACTCCAGACTGCCACAATGAAACTTTTTGATGGCCATTGTGCCAGCAGGGAACCCTGACACGAGTTTAGTTAAGCCTCACCTGCTCCTGCCTCTTCTCTCAGCTCTATAGCTGTCAAGGTCAGTCATAGTTTCATCAACCCACCCCCAGCCTGTTTCAACACTGGTTTGTGTCCAATCAACCTAAGTGCTGATTCCATTCTGGCCTTCTTTTGTGGCTCAAACTTGAAAAGGGTCTGTGAACTTAATGGCCCTCTTCCCTGGTCCCCCTGCATGATTGTCTCCTCTTTGTCATTCAGGCCTCAAACAGGCCATCTCTGATGAGCCAATCCAGAACCCCATTGTCTAACACATCTCCCAGTTTTATCTTCCTCTGTGGCCTTTATTTCCATCAGAAATATGTTCATCTCTTTATCATCTTTACACTCTGAAACAAAGCTATTCAAAATGCTTCAAGCTCCCATAGTTTTGACTTCTCTCAAATTAACACTAAACATAGTATCTCTCCTAACTTTCTCAGAGAATAATTTTTTTAAAAAGGAACGACGGCTCTAAGCATTAGAAACGACACAAGCACAACTTTCTTTTAAGCACCTGTCAAGTAAGTCCACATAGAAAGATGTCCTTGGAGAAAATGAAAGATCTCTGCCTGGAGGGAAAATACCTACAACCAGAAACGAAAGAAGTGAATGGAATCCTCATGACCAAGATAATGAGTGATAACTGGGACAAAATCTGGAATTTCCAAGCAAAACCTGATGATCTCCTCATTGCGACCTATGCAAAGGCAGGTAGGTTTGAGAAACTGGTGGTGGGGAAGCCAGCTTCAGAGAAGCCGTGACACGTGGAAGGGGCATCTCGATTTTAAAAGTGCAGGTTGTCACCAGGGCAGGCCCCTGAGAAAATGAAAACCAGACTCACTTGTGAGCTCCAGTCCCCTACAATCCAAGATCCTCCTTTTTATTTAGGTCCCTGATGGAGAAAACGACGGGCAGAATCCCAAATCATCAAAGGACTGAATGAAGTACAGAATGATTTAAAAGCATAGAGTCTGAAAAATAGCACAGAAGTTCTTACAGTAAATCTTGCCAACCCAGCCACTCCTTGTCTTATCTGCTAAGCTCTCCTGGAAGTAATCACAGCCCTTGCCCATAAGAAGCTTCTCTTAGTGGAGGAGACAGTGGAACTTAGTGGAACTGAGTACTTTCACCCCCCTGTAACAAGTGTTAACAGTGTTGGGCCCAAACCTACACCATACAGTGGGAAGGATCTGGGAAAGGGGGTGACACATACCAGAATCTTATGAAATGAAGAGGAGTTTGGAAAATGTAAGAGTCGGAAGAGGCAAAGGGTATGCCAGGCTTGTGCAGGGGCAGAGGAACAGAGCCCATCACAATCAGGGAAGACTGTGTACAGCTGGTCATCCCCTGTGTTCTCTGTATTCATCATTTAAACCAGTGGGACCGAGTGAGGTCAGAAACTTTAAGCTGTAACCAGTTTGGGAAAGTCTCTCAAGTGGCCATTTGGCTCAAGAAAAAGAACTCTAGATGTTCATAACTGGAACGATTTCAGAAGAGTTCGTTCAGGGCAGTTCTGTGAACCATCTTGGAACGGATTTCTGTCCTCCCTGGCTCAGAATTCCCTCCCTAGGCTTCACTCTGTTCTCACCACTCAACATTGCTAACCAGCCAGGTCTTACTTAGAGTAGGGGCTTCCTTTGGGCCCCTGAATGTCTTGAGAAATTCAGTTCAATTTCTCAAGAGTCTCCTGTCCTGTCTGGTTTGTACGTCTCTTGCTCAGACCTGAACTTAATTTGTAATGCACCTCAGAGCAGATATTTGTTTTCAGCTCAACTTGGAAATTATGCAGTCAACCCCAAGACCCGCCACACAACAGTGCAAACTCTCTCTCCAGCCTTATTCTCCCACCTGCCTCACCACCTCCCAACCCCCTGTGAGCCCAACTTTTACTTCCCAATGTGGAAATATGCCTGCCTTTATCCTGGCTCCTGAGGTTTCCACACCGGGGATGCCCTGGCTTCTTAATGTGGGTGGACATTCTAGGCTTGCTTTAACTCTTCACTCCAAAGCTATCATCTCAACCCAGCCTTACTGATCCCTTCCACCATAAGTTGGCCCTCCTCCTCAGAACTACTATAGCCCTTTGCACGTCCTCTATGGCTCTTACTGTAGACTGTACACTTTTAGTTATCTGTGTGTATGTCTTACGTATCACTGAGCATCAGGTTTGGCTAAGAGTCGGGGAGACACCAAATACTTTTGGTGTAAAGAGGAAAATGGATATTTGATGGACAACAGACACAATCTAGGTCTTTGCTACTCATATGTTTATCTATATCCCTCTTCTGTATCAGGTAGGATTCAATTTGGCTACAAGCGTCAGAGAACCCAAAACAACACAAAAGAAAAAGCAGCCTGGAGGCTAATAATCCAGGGCTAAAATGGTGGCCACATCGATCAGCGGAGAGCCTGGGTCCTTCTAACTTTCTGTTCCACCGTCTTCATGTGTATCTTTTGGTTTTATAGTCCAATAGACTGTTGGAGCTTCAGCCATCACATGCACGTTCCAAACAGCAGCAAGGAGGTAGGAAGGGAGGCATAAGGTCATGTTCCTTCCCTTTAAAGACAGCTTCCCAAAATTTAATGGCATGGCCACATCTAGCTTCAAGAAAGACTGAAAAATGTCACCTTTGAGCCAAGTACCTATATGCCCAGCTAAAAATTGAGGATCTATTAATTTGAGACAGAAGGGAAGAGTGGATATTAACTAGGCTAGAAGCAGTCGCTGTCATATCTTAACTCCTCCAAAAAGATTGTAAGCTTGTTAGAGCAGGGACAGTGGCTAACTCAGCTTTGTATTTCCCCACATTGATTTGATTCAGTATTCTTTTGCTCGAGCTACATCTATCGGGTGCAAAGCCCTATGCTAGGTACTAAAGATAACAGGAACAAAAGGACAGGTCCCTACCTCTGCTGAGCTCTGAGTCTCACAAGGCAGATATGTAAGCAGACCTTAACAATGAGCACAGGGGCCACCAGTGTTCACAGGAGAGGCTCTATCCATCCTGGGTGTCACACAGAGGCTTTGTCCACGCTGGGTGTTATGCAGAGGAGATGACGAGCTAATATGGTTCAACACTCACCAAATGTGAATTTTACTCAATATGAGAATAGTCAAGGAAATAGAATTAAATTGTGCACTGAGTGGGTGGAATTGAGAATAACTAATGTTTTTAGGCACAACCTGGACACAGGAGATTGTGGACATGATCCAAAATGACGGAGATGTGCAGAAGTGCCAGCGGGCCAACACCTTTGACCGGCAGCCTTTCATCGAGTGGACTCTGCCCCCGCCCAGCCCCTCAGGTAAGTGCCCAGCTA